TGTCATTGTCTTTGAAAAGTTACTGTATGGAATGGTCGAATAATACAGGCTGAGATCGCCTACCTCCAGAAAGATTCATATTTGCTTCTGCTGGGTACCTAGGAATACTACCAGTTTGGAACCACGTTCATTTAAAAGAACAATCTGAGGATTTGTATACCCAGTTGATTGAAAATTAACCTTCAAATCCATGTGAAGGCTAGTTTATTTCTTTTCTCCTGTGTCCTGAGCATGTAGCCCTACAGATTAATGAACGAAGTTACTCCTTCCCACTCCTTGCCATGAGAGAATACTGGCTTTATTTTCTGTCCCCTTTGACCTGTGAGACCATCAAAACAAAGTTCAAATTTGTCTGGATTAGCAGATACCCTTAAGGCAAAACTAGTTCTTACCTTCCCTTTAATTTTGGTTTGATAATTTGTTACTTTCTCTGTCAAATTTGTGGTGCTTTTGGATATACTAAAAAAATACTTAACCCAAAGTTTTCAGTTTTTTCTGGAGGAGAGTTGGCCCAATAATCTAACTAAACCATTTCTGAAAATGAATGTTTTCACCACAATTAATAAATTTTTCCATAATTTTTTCCTTTATTCTGAATTTTCTCATCCCTAAATCACAAATACCCTCCAGTGTGGTGTTCTAGTACCTTTATGGTTTCTTTTTTCCAGTAAAATCTCTAGTTACCAGGACTTTTTGTTTATGGTTACTATAATTCATCTTTGAATTTTTAATCTAAATCTCATATCTTGATTATATTTTAGGAGCATTGGACACCAAGAGCTATTTCTCAGTTCCAGAAGCTGTGTGGTTTGAAGCCATTAGTGGGCGTAGTGGATGAATATGTAGATGGAATCCTTAACATTTTTCTATGTGATACATCCTCAAATGAAGACATCTATTTCCATCATGTCTTGAGAACAGAGGGCCATGCTATTGTATGCCGAGAAAATGTCCCTTCTAAGGTGGAGTAGTCTGTTGTAATATATTTTATTTATCTCAACACTTCAAGGTGTAAGATAATTTAATACAGAGGGTTATTTGATTTATCCTTTAATCTTAGGGACATCTGTGAGATTTCTGCCTTTTTAATGCAGAGCACACTTACTTTTCCAATGACCACAAAAATCTACGTTTGGATTATTATTATTTAGAATGTGAACACTCTTAAGTAATTGATTAAAGATTCTATCTTATGCTGAAATATTTAATTCTCTGATGTCTTCTTAGAGAAAAGCAACTCTCTTATTGTGCAGTTATTAATAGCAATGTCTGTATCACCATTAATATTGATGTTGATAATTTTTGAACTGGGAAAAAGTGTCAGTGTGGAAAAATTTGAACTATTAAATTTTTAGAAGATAATACATTTCCACAACATTTACAAATTTTGAAGTGCTAACTTTTTCACTTTTTCTCTGAGTAATTAATCCCTTCCTCCTCCTTTCTTAAATCCTAGGGTTTCAGAGAACTCAATCCTCTAGCTTTATATACTAACAGTGCAGGGCCAGAGGATATTATTGTCTTGACAGAACTGGGTTATCCTTTCAAGCAGCACTATTTTAATGAAGACCAAGAGATAAGTCCACAATCGAAAGAGAGTGAATTATATACCCTGGTAAGAGGTTTTGCAAATATTATTATAATTCTTTTTACTATTATTACATTTATTGTGTACTTACTATTTGCCAAACACTATAAAAAGCACTTTAGCTGTTATATTATTGAATCCTCATAAAATCCCTGAGACATAGTTATGATAATTACCTTTTTTATAGATGATGAAGCTGAGGCTTTCTAAACCTAGGAAAGTTTGGAAACTTTATGCAGTGATCTTACCTTCTGTCTCATTTACTGTTTTAAACCTTTGCTTCTGTCATGCTTCCTTCTGAACAATTTCTCTCATACACTAAGTTCGATTGCTGACTTGCAGTTTTGATTTCACCTACACTGAATGCTATTCTTCTTCCATTTATACTTCTCATGTTCTCATTTCTTATTTTCCTTTCCTCTGTAAACCTTTTGGCAACACCTACCACAGTAATAGCAACAACAATAATACTATTATGTATTATTCTAACCCACATTTAGTAATAATAAAAATTAAAAATAACAGCAACATTATTTTCTTTGAATTAAACATGACAATACTATTTTAAGTATGTTTTATGTATCTAACTTTTAAAGTAAAATTATAAAGATGATCTTATTTTTTAGTAGACATTTAATAATTATTGGAAAAGATAAAAAGGAAAGGCAGTTTTGACAACTGGGAGATCCACCTCCTCTGAAAAATATGTATGAATGTTTACTGCTGCATGCTTAAACAATATAGGAATTTTAGATTTCTAGTTTGTGTAAAAATTAATTGGGCTTGTTTGGTCCATAACACTTTCTGAAGCCTGAATTTTTCTTTCATTACTTGATTAGGACAATTATATCTCCTGATTATTAAGTAGTGACTTGAAACATCCCTTAAGATTTTTAGAATGTCTATCACCAGTCTGTTGATGTCTTCCAATAATCATAGTTCATCCCTGAAAATGAAATAAGGCCATCTTTTCTGTAAAAGAGACAAGACTTAAAACTCCACTATCCTATCCCAGCCTATATTTTAACACATCAAGACTGATATACTACACACACACACATACACGCGCGCGCACACACACACACACACACACACACACACACACACACACTCCTATCTCTATACAACTAGTTCCCTGTAATTCCTACTCTTCTTTTAAATATCCTAATAATTTGTGTTGTCTCCTTCATCACATCTTCTAAGTCATCCTCCTCCTTTAATAATATTTTGGTCATATCTCTGTGATGTTTCTACACTGAAGGTTGTACTGTGATGATCTGATTGTGTGTCTTTGTGCTATATGTTGAGTTCCTGTATTTTAGCTCTCAAATTGACTACGTCCTATACTGTTAACCCAGTACTGTTGTCATGAGGAATATAAAACTCAGAGGATACGTCTGCTTATTTGTTTACTTGTTGAAAAATCATTTCACTATGAACTTCACTTTACTTATATCTAAACCTGTTATATCTGGGGCCTGTTGCATTCATCTTTATATCCACAGAGCTACCCATGCACATTTTGTATTATGCGCTCAATAAATATTTGTTGGCCTGAATGAGGTTAGCATAATGGGAAGACCTAGGGTTATGGATAAAGTTAGAAAATAATGCAGCATTTGTATGAACCACAGCAAAAAATTCCTCCCAGAATTTATAGGCATGTAGATTTTGGAAATGAGAGTATAGAAAACAAAGTAATTTCTCTTTCATATCTGCTAGCAAAATACTAATAATGAGAAAGCTCTCCATCACCTTAAATCTGACTCAGTGGAGCCATTAAAGGATTCTGAATTCAGTTCTTTGAAAATCCAAGATAAGAGCTGTGAAGAAAATCAAAAGTGGTTCATCCCAGAGCTGAAGACTCTAAAGGAAGAAAATGAGGTAGAAGGAAAGAGAGTTTTTTGAAAGCTTCATAAAACAAGTTGAAGAGTATTCCTTTCTACTTTCTATCTAAGAGATTAACTAAAAATTGGGTTCTTTTTTATATGTGTGTGAGTTAATTCTTTAAATGTTGTGTAGATTACTTCAGTGAAACTATCTGGCCTAGAGATTTCTTTTTCAGAAGGATTTAAACTATAAAATCAATTGCTATTATAGACACAGGGTTATTAAAGTTAACTATTTCATCTTGGGTTAGTTTTGGTATTTTGGTATTTTGTAGTTACTAGAGGTTCGTCAATTTTATTGAATTTTTTTCAAAGAATCAGTTCATGGTGCCATTGATTTTATCTGTTATTTTCCTGTTTTCAAGTTCATCATGTTTCTCTTACCTTGTTTTTCTTCTTTCTTTCTTTGGGCTTTCTTTTGCTTTCTTTTTCTAATTTCTTAAGATGGAAACTTAGATTATTGATTTGATAACTGTTATTTTTTTATTATAAGCATTTCATTTTATAGCCCTTTAAGTACCACATTAGCTATGTCTCACAAGTTCAAATATATTGTATTTTCATTCAATTCAGATTTTTCTAATTTCTCTTGAGATAGTCGCCTTTGACCCTTTATTATGTGGGTTATATAATAATGAGTCATATAAATATGAATTATTTAGAAGTGTGTTGTTCAATTTCCAAGTGTTTGGAGATTTTCCTGTTATCTTTATTTCCAGTTTTTTATTTTGGCCTGAGAACATACTTTGTATGATTTCAGTTTTTAATATTTATTTTATCAACATAGGATATGGTCTGTCTTGTTGAATGTCTTATGTGCCTTTGAAGAGAATGTGTATTCTGCTTTTGTTGGACGGATTGTTCTATAAATGTCATTTAGATCCAGTTGATCAGTGGTATCATTCAATTCTTCTATATCCTTACTGTGTCTACTAATATATTAATTCCTGAGAAGTATGTTGAAATCACTAACTATAATCTTAGATTTTGTCTGTTTCTCCTTTTTCCTGTCAGTTTTTTCCTTATATATTTTGAGGCTCTGTTGTTAGGTGCTGTTAGGATTTGTATGTTTTCTTGATGAATTGACCCTTTTATCACTTTGAAATGTCTTTTTTTTTATCCCTGGTTACTCTCTTTGCACTGAAGCCTACATTGTCTTTTATTAGTATAGTCTCTTCAGCTTTACTGTCTTTTAGTATTTGTACAGTGTATCTTTTCCATTCTTTTACTTCTACATTATCTATATAATTATATTTGAAAGTACGTTTATTGAGATAGCATATAGTTTGGTCTTTTTAAAAATCCTTTCTGACAATCTGAATTTTAATTCATATGCTTAGAGTATTTTATATTTAATATTATTATTGATATGTTTTAACTTTTGTTCTACCATTTTATTATTTTTGTTTATCCTGCTTTTCATTTATCTGCTTCTCCTTTATTTCCATTTTTTATTATTATTCTTTTTTTATTTAGTAGTACATTTTAATTACTATATTTTTATTATATCTACTTGTATAGTTTTTTTACCTGTTACTCTGATTTCACAGTGAGCTTAATCAGTATTTACCATTTCAGGTGGAATGTGGATACCTTGCCACTACATAGGTGTTGTCTTACCTCTTTCCATCCCCTTTAAGTTATACTTACATATAACAACTGTATATGTTGAGAATTTATAATGGTATGTTTTTTGCTTTCCATGCTTAAAACATATTCTAAAAAGTTTGAGAAGAGTCAATTATATTTACCCAGATATTTACCATTTCTGTTGATCTTCCTTTATTTCTGATATTCCAGGTTTCCTTCTGGTATCGTCTCTTTTTTGTTCAAAGAAATTCCTTTAGCAATTCTTTTAGGACAGGTCTGCTAACCACGAATTCTTTTAGTATTCTTTATTTGTGCATTTATTCCATCTTCATTCTTGAAGGATATTTTTGCTGGACATAGAATTCTAGGTTGTCAGTTCTTCTTTCAAACTGTTAAAAATTTCATTTTGCTTCCGTCTGACTTTAATGATTTCTGATGCAAAATCTGCAGTGTTGAAATTGTTCCTTTATAATAATGTATCATTTTTCTTTGGTTACATTCAAGATAGTTTTTTTGTCTTTTGTTTTCAGCAGACTGATTATCATCCCTCTACGCCTGGATTTGTTTGGGTTTATCTTGTTTGAGATTTGCTAAGTTTTTTTGAATCTGTAGGTTTATGTTTTTTTTACCAAATTTAGGAAGTTTTCAGACATTTCTTCAAATGATCCTTCTGCACTGTACTTTCTTTTCTCCTCTTGACATAAATTTAAACCTTTTGGTGTTGTTTTACAGATCCCTGAGGCTTGGGTTTTTTGTTTTGTTTTTCCCAATTTTCTCTCTCTGCTGTTCAGATTAGATCATTTCTACGGATCTGTCTCCAAGTTCATGCATTCTTTTTTCTCACCTCTGTCCTGCTATCAAAAAGATAGTTGGGTGTCTCACTATTCAGTATAAAAACCTTCACTTAATCCTACTGTTTTACTAATGCCTGCTCCACCCTCAGTTTTACCTTCCAGAAGACCCTCTAGTCTGCAAGCAGGAGGAAAACATGTAGTTTCTTGGGGTCTTGGAAGAGGGGGAGGTATCTGGAGATTTAACTGCTTTTACAGACTTTCAACCAGTGCTCTTGGTTTCATTCCCACTATACACCCTCACTTTGCACTATCTATGGTATAAATTTGTGTTGCTTCTCAGTTTTCTGCTAAAGATCAGGATTCCACTTTCTCAGGACTGTTCAATAAATTGTCACTTGTCTACTTTACTGCATCCAGAATGTAGACAGTGTTTTTCTTTTTTTCTGTTCTTCTTGGCCATGTATTTATACCTTAAATATCTTTATTTTGTTTCAGTGATGTTTCAGGAAGGAGAGAGTAATGAATTGTGTATTCAAACTTTTATCTTTACCTGGAGTCAGGAAAAAATTATAGGCCTAAATTTTAAAATGTACTCCTATAGGAACTGTAAATTATAAGTTTTTCTTTGTCTTTTGATACATTCTAGGATGAGATACCCACTGGAATGCCATGCCTGGAATCAGTAACCATAGGTGATGATATTTGGGATGAGAACTGGTTACCTTTGCAGGCTAAGATGGGCGAAGAAAGTGATGCTGCCTCACACTTATTTACCACAAGCCTTGATGGAAAGAAACTATATTCATCATGTAAAGAAATGCCACGAAAGGTTAGGTTCTTAGGAAGACAGAAAGCACATCATTATTGAAAAAAAAAAAAAGGAAATGTAAATAAAATTGTCCAAGCCTTAAGGAAGCTACACATTCTGGAATGCAAAAGGATTTCTCAGACGATAATTCAGAATGCATTTTTCCCTTCCCAAAGATGACAATGGTAGGGATGGGGATGGGATGAAGCAGGGGAGAATACACCATGGACTTATTGTGCCCATCTGTTCTTTCAATCATTGTGATTTTTGCTTTGTCATGGGCACCTAAGTTCTGTAAACTAAACTGTTTTCCCTAATTTTACTTTTTGGCATTAGTCCTGAATAGAAATTCTGGATCTCTGCAGTGAGAACATTTATTAATATTGGGCCTAACTGTGTATTTAAAGTTATTTCCCACTGGTTATTAGGAAGAAGAAACATCTACAGGTAAGTTTCTCCTTACTATTTGTGCCATTTAAATACTAGATGACCATGACAAATCATCTAGGCATAACAACACTATTGAATACTACAAGCAAGTTGTATTTGCTTTTATAAGATCTATGTGTTCAAAGGAATTCCAGATATTGGATAGGGACCAATAAAGCAAGGGGAAAAGTCACACTAATTTAGAAAGTTTAATAAATACCTTTTCTTGCTTAATATACTTTGCCTCCTTGCTTTACCTTGCTCAAGTTACCCTCTGTTTGGATCATGTGGCACTATATCTTAGTTTATTATTGCATTTTTTTTCTGTGTAGGATTGGTGGTTTTCTAAATCCAAAGATACATGGGAGGACTCATGGCAGCCTTCAGGCCTTGTGAATGGAATGAAAGTAGAAGTTCAAAAACCAGAAGGTCTGGATGAGCAGGAAGAAAATACTGGCACCAGCAGGATTCAAAAGGTAAATGCTTAATGAATGCTATTGTGATAGGTTCTCATGAGGAAGTGCCTTTGTTTTTGGAAAGCTAGTTATGGTTAATGATCCCTTTCTTGGCATTTGGATCTTTTGCTTTTTAAAATTAATTTCAGTTAACTAATATAGTTATTCATCTCTTCAGAAGTAAATCCTGAGCCTAATAATTAAATGACTGATTAAACTTCTATGTTACAGATAGAAAAAACAGGTATTTTCATATAACAGCCAAAAATTTTAAGTTCTGTATCTGTCTCATCATTTAAACCAGTTTTCTTCATTTGCTTTGGCAGAAAGCACTAACCCTGAAACAAAATCCATTTGTCTTATGCTTCTCAGAATCTTAAACATCGTGAAAACTGCAGGACAGTTTGTGTGAATCATGAAATTTGGCTGTCCGGCCCCTGTACTTCTATGTGTCATGTTAAAAATAAAGGACTCAATTCTAAGAGATTTGTTGAAAAGCAGAGTTGTGGAAGATAAATTTTCTGAGTGATCTTTTTCCTACAGAATGTGATTACCTTGTATGAGAGTATTGATAAAGAATGCTGTATTACATAAAACAGTCTGTTTTAGAAATGTAGTTTGCTAAAAGCACATATTTAGTTTAAGGATTAAGATAGCCTTTCATATTTTGTTTCTCATGCAACTTTTTTTTTTTAAGAAATAACAGCTTTTTGAAATATAATTCACATAACAACTCACTTATTTAAAGTGATAATTCAAATTATTTGTACTGTGTAACCATAGCTACAATCCATTTTAGAGCATTTTCATTACCCCTTCAAAAAACCTGCTACCCATTAGCAGTCACACCCCTTCTCCATCATTTCACAGCTTTAGGCAAATACTAATCTGCTTTCTGTCATAGATTTGTCTATTTGGGGTATTTCATATAAATATCATACAATATGTGGTCTTTTATGATTGTGTTTATTGTTTGCTGTGCAGAAGATTTGTAGTTTCATGTAGTCACAATTGTTTATTTTTGCTTTTGTTGCTTGTGCTTTTGGTTTTATATCCAATAAATCATTGCTAAGACCAATGTCATGAAGCTTTTCTCCTGTTTTCTTCTAGGAGTTTTACAGTTTTGTGTCTTACGTTTAAGTCTTTAATCCATTTTGAGTCAGTTTTTGTGTATAAGGGTCAAGTTTCATTCCTTTGCATGTACATACCAGTTTTCCCAACACCGTTTGTTGAAAAGGACTATCATTTCCCCATTCTATATTGTCAGCATCCTTATCAAGTATCAGTTGACAGAATAAGTGTAGTTTTATTTCTGGGCTCTCAGTTCTGTTCCATTGGTCTATGTCTCTCTCTGTGCTAATACCGTAATATTTTGATTACTGTAGCATTGCAGTATATTTTGAAATCAGGAAGTGTGATCCCTCTAGCTTTCTTTTTCCCTCAAGGTTTTGACTTTGGGGTCCTCTGTGGTTCCCTACAAATTTTAGGATTGTTTTTTCTATCTTTGTAAAAAATGCCATTCAGATTTGATAAGGATTGTATTGCATCTGTAGGTCACTTTGGGCTCTATGGCCATTTTAATAATAATTCTCCCTATCCATGAACATGGAATGTCTTGCCATTTATTTGTGGCTCCCCTTTCTTTCATCACTGTTTTATTGTTTTCAGTGTATAGATCTTTCACCTCCCTGGTTAAATTTATTTATTTATTGGTATTTTAATCTTTTTGATGCCATTGTAAGTGGGAATGCTTTCTCAATTTCCTTTTCATACAGTTAATTGTTAGTGTATAGAAATGCAACTGATTTTTGTATGTTGATTTTGTATTCCCCAACTTTACTGAATTTGTTCATTGGTTCTAATGGAATTGTTAGGATTTTCTACATATCGATCATATCATCTGCAGAGATTGTTTTTCTTTTCCAGTTTGGACGCCTTCTATTTCTTGTCTAATTGCTGTGGCTAGGACTTACAGTACTATGTTGAATGGTGAGAGTGGACATCATTGTCTTGTTCTCAATCATTTTTAGATATGTTCTTAATGGTCTTTATTCTTTCTCTCTTTTTAATCTTTTCACTTGATCCTGTTTTTGGCATATGGAAGAAAGAAAGGGAGAGCATACCTCATGATTTTTTTCATTGAATGTTGAACATTGTGGGTAAAGAATTACAGAGGCTCTGGGTGAGTTATCTTCCTCCAAGGAAGGTTAAAGTTTCTTGCAGCTCAAATACCAACTCACAAGTTTCTTGTGGCTAAAATACCATGATTATATTAACACACACACACATATTGAGGCTTGGTTTTAGGCCTTGTAAGGACTGCCTTATTTCATCTCTGTCCTTACTCCTTGGGTGTAGCTCTACTCCTAAAGCATGATCTTTCTGGGGATTGCACCTGCAGCCTGGGGAGTTTGCCAAATCCCCTCCCTTACAGTGGGGCTCAGACTTCATCTTCTGTGTCCTTAGCTTTGTTGAAATATAATTCACATACCATACAGTTCACCCATTTAAAGTGTACAATTCAATGGCTTTTAGTATATTCACTAGCTTATTAACATACTGTATAGCTATCATCATAAGCAGTTTTAGAATATTTTCATTCTAAATATTTTCACTCCCTCAAGCCCTCCTCTGCCTTGCCCCACTAGGCAACCACCAGTCTACCTTCTGTCTTGATTTGCTTAGTTTTAGGGGCATTTCACATAATTGGAATCAATACAATATGTGGCCTTCTCTGTCTGATTTCTTAGCATAATGTTCTTGGGGTTCATCATGTTGTAGCATGTTATCTGTACTTTATTTCTTTTTATGGTCGAATAATCCATTGTATGGATAGACCATGTTTTGTTTATCCATTTATCAGCTGATGGATATTTGAGTTGTTTACAGTTCTTGCTATTATGAATAATGCTGCTGTGACATTTATGTACATGTTTTTATATGGACATATATTTAAAATCTTATTAGGTATATACCTAGGAGTGGAATTGCTGGGTCCTGTGGTAACTCTGTGTTTTGAGGAATTGCCAGTCTTTTCCAAACAGCGGCACCTTTTTACATCTCCATCAGCAGTATAAGGGTGTTCCAACTTTTTTACATCTTTACCATCACTTTTTACTTATTTTTGTATTATAGCCTTCCTAGTAGGTGTGATGTTGTATGTTGTGCTTTGGAGCTGTTTTTATTGCATATGTTAATGTTTCAGAAATCATGAACTTGTTTCTTGAAAGTCTGCCACTGACCTCTAATACCATGAAGGTGTATTTTCAGATAACTATGAGGCAGTCAGTCCTTGATTAACTATAGAGGGGATAAATCTGGTAGAGCAGTGCTTCTCAAACATGATGTGCATAGAAATCACCTGAGAACCTTGTAAAAATGCAGATTCTTGGATGGGGGACTGAGGTTCTCCATGTCCAACAAGCTTGCTTTTAGGTGATGCTAAAGCTGCTGGTTGGTGAACCACACTCTAGACCATTGTTCAGGGGAGGAGACTCTTGCTGTTCAATAAAGTGCTTAAATTGACTATAGGTATTTACTTTCAAAGTATACAAATTTAGAAAGTATTCACCCATGCCCTTTTTTCAGTGTAAAAAGCTAATAGAAGACTGTATCTTAAATGTGTTTTAACAGTGCATCTTTCTTCAAAATCATATTTATGAGGAAAAAAAAAGATACAGCCTTTGAAAACTGGCTTCTGATTTTGATTGTTATTAAACTACTGGAAATAAGAGCAGAGCATAGTGTGAAAAACAGTTGGTCTGAGTTTTATAATCTAGGACGTTGTCTTTGCCACTGACCAGGTGGTGGTGTGGTGGAGCACAGAGAGCTGTCCAGGGCTGAGTTGCGATTTCTGCCTTGTTGCTTACTGACCAGCTTTGGATAACTTACTCAGCCTCTGGTCAAAATCATTATGTTACCTTAAAGAAGCCATAATGAAGATGACATAACACTTAACCTAGAATGGTCATGCTGACACTTAAATGAAGAAACACATGCAAATAACCTAGCACTGTCCTGGACAATGAGTGCTCACTGAATGTTACTCTCTCCTTTCCTGCCCTTCTTCCTCAGCGAGTCTAGCCGCACTCAGTACCATGCACTCAATAAGTGTTTCTCGAATTCACTTGATGGTCACCATACTAGAGAAGGACTTGTGTTTTCTAGAGACTATCTTGGTTCTTAAGTGAAGAGTTTGTTAATTATGATATGAAAAATATTTGTCTTTTGTATATAAGTAAGAGACCAAAACAGATTCAATTCTTCCTGTTACACTAACAGTTACTTTTCATGCCTTTGCCACATTTTTCCCATTCTGCAGCAGCCAAACTTAGAGAATTCTTCAGATTTCTCCACATTGCCGGAACTGGAGGAGTTCCCCCTCAGCCAGTCACCGGAGCCAGAAGGGAGCCTGTCTGAACCGTACAGCATTCAGCCGGCAGCGGAGCGGATTGAGCTCTCCACAGCCGCACTCACCTCGTCTCCGCCAGGAGCCGGCTCCTCAGAAGAACACTCTGGTTCAGGTAGTTTTCCACATAATTAACAAATACAGTGTTTTGCCTACTAAAAATCTTCATTTGTCTTTTTCAGAACATAACTTGAAAAATCTCTGACTTTAGCATTTGTTTCAAGTCCTCATATTATTTCTGGGCTCAATTGTTCTCTTTCACTTTGTCACTTTTCTTATTTTCTGGAATTTGGTGGGTGGGAGTCAGGTTTATATGTACAGTAAAATTTGCCAGTTTTTAAGTATACAGTTCTGTGAGTTTTGACAAATGTATACAGTCTTGTAATCAGTGTCACAATCATTATATATAGAACATTTCCATCAATTTGAAAAGATTCCTTGTGTCCCTTTGCAGTCATCCCCCACCCCTACCTTGTTGGCTCCTGGCATGTGACTTTCCTTTTTCTAGAATTTCTATAGAGGGAGTCATACAGGATGTAGTTTGATGTCTAGCTTCTTTCACTGAGCATCATGTTTTAGAGATTCATTTATGTTGTTGCCAGTATCAAAGGTCTGTTTCTGTTTATTGCTGAGTACTCACTTGTATGAATATACTACAGTTTCTTGATCTGTTCAGCCAGTGACAGATATCTGGATTGTTTCCAGATTTGGGCAATTATTATTGAAGCTACTCTGAGCTTTTACATACAGCTCTTTGTATATACACATTTTTTATCTCTATTCAGTACATAACTAGGAGTGGAATTGCTGGATCATATGGTCACTGCATGTTCAACTTTTTAAGAACTGCCAAAATGTTTTCCAAAGTGGCTGTGCCATTTCTTATTCAGACCAGCAATATATGAAAGTTCTGATTGTTTCATCTACTTGCCAGTACATATCATCAGTCTTTTTAATTTTGTCATTCTAGTGAGTATGTAGTGGTACCTTATTGTGGTTTTAATTTACATTTCTCTGTTTGTCAGTGATGTTGACACTCTTCATGTGCTTATATATCACCTATATATTTTCTTTAGTGAATTGACTGTGTAAGTATTTGCACATTTTTATTGGATTATCTTTTTATAGATTTGTAAAAATTCTTTTTTCTGGGCACAAAACCTTTGTCAGATATATATATTGCAAATATTTCTAAGTGTGTGGCTTGCCTTTTCATTACCTAAACAACATCTTTGGGAGAACAAAAGTTTTCATTCTGATGAAGTCAAATTTATTGAATCTTTTTCTTTATAGTTTGAGCTTTTTGTGTTTTTCTTAATCTTCCCTAACCCAGGCAATCAAGATTTTCTCTTACATTTTCTTATAGAAGTTCTATAGTTGTAAATCTTACATTTAGGTCTGTGATGCAGTTCACTAATTTTTGCATATGGTATTATATAAGGATTGATGTTTATTTTGATTACATATAATATTCATTTGTTCCAGCACCATTTGTTGAAAAAACTGCCCTTTCTCCATTAAACTGACATGATACCTTTATCAAAAGTCAGTAAGATGTATATGTGAGATTCTATGCATAGACTTTGTGCTATGTTTTAGTGGTCTGTATGTCTGACTGTATACTGCTGTCTTAATTACTATGGCTTTATAATAAGCCTTGAAATTGTATAATGTTTTCTGGTTGTTTTGGTTATTCTATTCTATGTCATTTTCCATATGAATTTTAGGTTAACTTAATTTCTACTCAAAGCCTGCTAAAATTTTTATTGGGTGTTTAAAATATAGATCAATTTGGGGAGAAAGTGACATCTTAACAATATTGAGAGTCTTCTGGTTTATGTATGAGCATAATCTCTCTATTTATTTCTGCCCTCTTTAATTTCAGCAGTGTTTTGTAGTTTTAAGTATGTAGGTGTTATTCCTAGTTTGTTAAATTCATCCCTAAGTGTTTTAAATATTATGCTGTTGTATAAATGATATTTTTATTTCAATATTGATTGTTGCTAGTTTATAGAAATATGGTTGATTTTTATATATTGTCATCATATCCTGGGATCTTACTAAATTTAGCTCGTTAGTTCTGTCTTTGGCCTTCTCTGTAGATAGCCGTATCAGCCTTAAACCACAGGGACCTCTCTACAGATCTCCAGCCTCTCCTCTGGTACTTTTCCCCTCACAAATTCCACACAAACCTTGACCAGCATAGACTCCAAACTCTGTCTTCTCAACCCAGTAAGAACCTCGAGGCTGAATTTGGATTCCCCGTCCTTGAGCTGCAGCCTGGAAGTTATCTCGACAGCAAGCTAAGGCGCTTACAGGGCTTGCTGTGTCTGTCTTCTGCTCAGGGATCACTGTTCTTGGGTTCTTGGTGCTCCAGCTCCAAAAGCTGTTGTTTCATATATTTAGTCCAGGTTTCTAGTTGTTTAAAGCAGGAGAGATTGTTTTTCATCCCCTGTTGAAATAGCATCATGTCTGGAAACAGAAATTTTGCTACTTATGTAAATTCTCTGATCATGTGTCCACACTTAGTATTCTTATATCTTTAAAAATCTGAGCTCACCAACCTTTCTATAAAGCCACATTGTTTCATTATAATTTGCCATCTCTTTTCCTCTCTAGTGGGTGTTAATTGTAGTTTCATGAACAGTTTTACTTTTTAAAATACCCTGTCAAGTTTTCCTTCAATGTAATTTATCACAAATGTATGGAACTTATACCACATACTACTATGCTAAATGTTAAAGAGGAAGAGAGGAATAAAATACTGAATTGTGCCTGCTTTTTCTCTGAATTTTTTGTAATCTGTATTTTATGGTCTAGAGCAATACTTTTCAAACTGTCAGTCAGCATGCCTGTTCCAGTCTATGAAGTCTGTGATAATGGACAACACAACAGGCTGTTGTTTAGCTCACCTAGATTCTTTTCCCTCAAAGCAGGGCTTTCTTGAAGGGAAGCGGTGTGTTGGCTTAGATGTGTGTAGAAGTTCCATCTGTCCTTGTAGGCAGGTAACAAATGGTAGACCAGCTACTTCAGTGGCCCAGGCCTGGAGCGCCTCTGTGAGAATGCTAGCTTGCCCTTCCTTGGCTACTCAGAGCTCTTGGCCTTGGGATTCCCCACAATTCATCTCTTTTAAGAGGCTCTTTTTTCTTAGTTAAAACTAATTCCTAAGTAATTCATTTTATGACTGATAACTACTTTTTGGAACTTCTCAGCAAACTCAGACTTGGTCAGTTTTGTTTTACACTGGCACAGACTCAGTGGAATGGAGCCACTTTGGCAACAGAGAAAGCTCGTGGGAGACCATTTTGTTTTATGTTGCAAGAAAATAGGAGCACTTAAGGACTCTTCCCTGGAGTTGGAATTGCCAATTTATTTTTGTAATGTCCTAGAAAGAATTCTTCCCTTCCATGTTCATAAGTACATTTTTTGCCACTTGTTTGCCTTCATCCTGACTAGAACATACTTTATTTCAATGCATGATTCCCCATCCTCATTTCCTTTCCATTTGTTGGCCCATCCTCTCTATCTGCCATTGGTAATTGTCACCACCTAATAGAAGAAGATTTTTAACACATGTTAACAGAGGTCTAGAGTGGGAGAGAAGGCATTGAGTGTGAGAACACCTTGAAAAGACTTGTGTTTTCTTTCTTTCAGTGGGAAGTTCTCCAGGGAACCTGAAGAATGAAAATTTTTCTAGTAGCCATGCTATTACAGTGTTCAAAGACAAGAGTCATGGAGCCATGGACCAGCTTTCTCTGATTTTGTCTCCTGAGCACCAGATTTCTCATAAGCTCTACATTCCTCGAAGTACAGCCACTGCTGCCTTAGGAGCTGCTGCGAGGTTAGCCACATCCAGGAGCCTTCTACAGTGGTACCCAAGTGTGAAAAGGATGGAAGCCTGAGTAGGGGAGGGAAGGGTGGAAGGGAAGGAGGAAAAAAATAAGCCAGCTGCTCAGGGCTCATTGATTTCACATTCCAAAATAAGGAGGAAGTATTGAGACAAAATAGTATTTTGATGGTTGATGTCTTTGTCTCTGTGACTATATATTAGCTTTATTATGTCCGCTTTGTTGTGTAAGTATTGATATGTAATGTTTATTTTCATTTTTACTGATATTTCTTATATAGTTTTGTTTATTGTTTACTTTTATTTAATGTAGTAGTTTAGAGAAGCTTTTATGTTTTGTGTTTTTTGTGTTTCTATAATGTCTTTCTTACACATATCATGACTAATAAATGAAAACTGGAAAACTAATGTTTTGTGATCCATATTTAGTAAAACAAAAATTATCTCGCATCTCTGTCTCCAGAAATTTTAAGGCTGCTTTCTCTATCTCATTTGAAATCTGTATTTTCAAATATAGATAATTTAGGGTTCCAGTCCTTACCATCGTTATTTCTTTGAACTACTAGGACCAGTAAGAAATCCACACCCTGAAGTTTTGGTCATGTAAACACTTACACATTTTAAAACTTGAACTATCTTTCAGTATAGACAATTTCTTGAAGACTAGTAATGAGATTGCTAAAACTTAGCTGAATGAATGTCTCTGTAGCTGTCACAGTTTCCAGGAGCTTTGATGTAGCAGTGATTCAGCAATGGTGGTGTTTAAGCATTTATACAACACGATGTTCCCTGAAGTCAGATTGTGTGAAATATTGACATCCTGTTAAGCTCATAGTGTAAATCATTAAGAGAAAAGAAAAGACAAAAAGGTAAAATTAAATAATGTAAGGGATACTAATTTCTTTGTGGTAAAGTAGCAGACTTACCCTCAAATTTAAAAAAATCCCATATAGAGGCATTTCTTAGAAATAAAATCAGAGAAGGAGGTGTGACTTATTGGCATGCTGCATAGAGCTAGATTCTCACCTTTCTAGACTCTCTTCTAAGGCCTCTTGTTTGGTATTAAGTGGGAGAGCTAGCCCAAGTTCTTTTTCTTTTCCTACTGTAAGGAATTTCTCTTCTTTCCTTCTTAGTTACTTAACCAGCAAAATGTCCACTGAGGAAGGGAGTGAGATGAGAGTAAATATAAAAATGCATTTACATTCAAATAGTACTGCCTGAAACTTCTTTCTGGGAATTAATTAATGAAACAAACCCAAAGTCTCTAAATACTGATAGTTTTTGGCTTAAAAATCTAGAGAAAACATGATTAATGCAATAAAATTAGAAGACCCAGATTCACCTTTAATTCTAATATATCTACAAGAATGACAATATACTAATTGACATACATATAATCTGGAAATATCACTGATAGTTGGCCCAACAGAAAGAACAGGTTCCCACTTGGGTTTTTGTGATTTTATGTCAGACTTCTTTATTGGAGAAGACAGTTAAGAGTTACATGGAGGGTCAATGAATAGTTAAATATCATCCATGATACTCAGCTGTGATATGAACTGGAAAGCTCTTTTTCATACAGGTTTAGGTAATCCACAATTTGTTTCCAAAGAACAAAATTCATTTTGGAATTATGCTTGTTAGAATTCTTCCTTTAAAGAAGAAACCAAGTTTGTTTCCAAGGGGTGGACCATTGGGTTTGGGGCTTCTCCAGAGGGGTGACCATTGGGTTTGGGGCAGAGTTAATTCTAGTAGAAGCAGTATCTACATATCTAGTAGGTCAAACTGTAACCCTCTCTATAGCATTACTAGTACCTACTAGGAGGAACTCGGCCAACAGCGGGCTAACCAGACAAGACTAATCTTATATTTGCTGGTTAGATATTGATGGGGCCAACAGGGAATCATTGAGACAGAGCCATCTCAAACTGATGAGTGTCAACACACTTTCAAAGAAGCCTATTTAGTAGTTAACAGTTAACATCCTGTTTGAGTTAGCAGAGCGGAGAAGGAACCTTGGAGAGAGACATTTTGACTGCTTGGCTTTGACTAGGGCAGATAGTCTGTCAAAGCCCAACAAGGTGGGCTTTGTTTGGTATTTAAGTAAAATGGCCCGAAGTATCAAATTTAATAGATCATTTGAAAACGAGTAAATAGCTTTACTTATATAGCCAGGAACAACAATAAGAAATGTTCAAAAGGTAGGTAGATGTTCTGTGGTTTAGGGTAAAATTAATTATATTTTATTGTCAAAAGATGGGTTGACATCTATTTTTAGAATAGCGCCACCCTCACATTTTTGGTGTTAAGGATCTATCAGAAATATTGACTAGGAAGTGGGAGCCTGAGGTGTGTTAGGGGGTATAAGGAGAACATACAGGAAAATCCTGGTTATAATTCCCGAGGAATGGGAGAGGCTTTACTAAGCCGTTTGGGTTTTAACTCCAGTGCTTTGTACCAATACCCGTCTTCCATCCAAAAACACACCATGGGTTATCAAAAGAAGGGCCAGTCTAGCTGCAATCAGCCGTGCTTTTTCCTGTAACTCACATGTTTGAGATGCTGGTTGCCCATTGCAAGGCATGGGGAAAACTAGAGCCTTCTGCCTACAATCAGAATATGTCTGACTTCGAATTACAGAATTTTGATCTAGAAGGGATCTTAAATGAGGAAATTAGAGGCCTAGAAAGACTAGCTTGCCTATGGTCATATAGCTTACGTTCCCCTATCTGCTGACCCTCAGCCCAGTGCCCTTTCCACTAGAAAATATTGTGACCCCGTCCTGCATAGTTTAAAAGATTATAGCCAGAAGACATAGTTCGGTAGGTAAGTCCAAAAGAAGGTGGTTCTAATAGCTGAGCAAACCCCTGGTATTAGTGATAGGGAAATATTGACAAGGTCAGCAGTGCAGTCCGGGTGGCTCCCTTCTGCTTCTCTTTAGCAAGGACAGCAGAAACTCCCTCCCCCTCACTCCCCGCTCCACCAGGCGCTCACTCTCAAAACTCACTCCCCCTTGCTTGCTTGCTGTGCACGTAGAAATGTTGCAGATACGGAAGCAGAAAGATATGTATTGCTCCCCTTGCCTTGGTTCGGGGCTCAGACCTAGGGAGATTACTCCCCTCTGAGCCCACGGGTGTAAAATAAACCTCAGCACTCCACGACCTCCGAGTGCTGCTTGGTTCTTCTGTCAGCGATCCAGTCCAGGTTTTTTCCGTAACATTAGCTGTGAGATTGATTTACAAATTTCTTGTGTTCTTGAATGTGGATAGCTTAAATAACAGTGGGCCAGTTCTAGGGCTGAAGATTCTGAAAGGAGGGCGTGGTGAGAGGACAAACCAATGCCTTACAGAGCAGTCTTCCTGAAGCTTCCTATTAACATGTATACCATGTAGTGAGGCCTCTCCAATAAACTTTTAAGTGCCTTCTCAGAATTAAATTAATCTTATTTAATACATACAGTGCCACACACAGCATTATTCATAATTTGGGAGGAGCCATCACTAAAACATTTAAAAGATTGCATTTCCTGTACCCATTCAGATCAGTCACCAGTCAACCTAGTAAGTTGGCTGGGTTTGGTATTCAGCATGTGAACTATAAGCATAGTTTTCAGGAAATAATTTTAGTTTTCTGTTGGGTATAATTTTGTTTTGTATTTCTGTTAAAATTAAAAATTTTTTTTTAAATTTATGGAAAAATGCTTATAAGAAACTTTACTTGATTATTACTTCTTGGTGCCAATTTAGATAAATAATTAGATGAGGAAACCAGATTTATGACTCTGTCTGTACTCTCTAAACTTTAGCCTGCTGGAACCAGAATACTTTAAACTCTGCTATTGTTTAATCACATAGACAGAAATTGCTTTAACCTCTCAGCCAAGGATTTCTCTAATATTTAGAATCTTAATTGACTAGTGTGTCACTTTCCACAAATCGAATGTTTGACCTACCCCAAAACTGAGTAGAGAACTTAGTCATAACTAAATTTTCTTGGTTATAAGCATAGTTTTCAGGAAATAATTTTAGTTTTCTGTTGGGTATAATTTTGTTTTGTATTTCTGTTAAAATTAGATTTAAAATTTTTTTTTAATTTATGGAAAAATGCTTATAAGAAGCTTTACTTGATTATTACTTCTTGGTGCCAATTTAGATAAATAATTAGATGAGGAAACCAGATTTATGACTCTATCTGTACTCTCTAAACTTTATTTCAGAGCTAATGGTAAGTCTTTGGGACCAGGGAATTATGATTAGCCTGATCTTCAGAGTTTGTAACAGCATTTTGTTGGACTTAATCAAATACTTACGAAGTTGGTATTTGTTTTGTCAGAAATGTCTAGATGTCTTCTTGTAATCAGTTTTTGTTGTGATGATTCTACAGAAATGAAAATATTACTTAAATATGTGACCCAAAGAACTTGAGTAAAGTAGAAAATTTCCCTGTAGAGTTGTGAAAACAGATTTGACGGTCTTCTTGACTAAAATATTTGTCTTCATTTTTGGCTCAACTTCTTTACTCTTACAGTACTTTGGCCTTTGTAAACCTTTGCTACACTGTAGATAAATACTTTCATTCCATGAAATTGGAAATTCTTTCACACTGGAGCCACTGCTTGAGTACCTGACAGCCACATTTCAAAGACTTGTTCTCTTTCTTTTTTTTATAGCAACATGTTCAAAAACAAACCCTTCTAAGCCACCTCCCTTTTTAGACTGTTCACATGCTGAATACCAAACCCAGTCCCATGGTAAGCTGTGATTCAGCACTCTTTCAGCCCCTTACTTGATTTCCTCATCCCAGTTAGGTAATGGAGCTTTGCTTGATCTGCCGTTCACTGGACCGTAAGTGAAAGGTAAAGACAGCTCAGTTTATTTCTTACTAGAACAAATGTCTGCTTGACAAAAGCATCTTGTTATTGCAGTGTTGTTACTCATATGTTCTGATGAAAAATCTCTGATACCATATGTATGAAAATACCTGCCAGTTAAATAAGACTGTGTGTAACATTTAGGATTCCGACTATAAGGCAAAATATATCCCCAGTGAGATGATACATATTTCCTCCTCATGATACCTTCCTTTTAATGGATACCAATCTTCCCTCTTGCTTAGAAGGATGAAACTTAAGCAAACATACATGAGATGGGCTAGAGCGAAAAGTTTTATCATTTCTTTTCTGAATCTTAAAGTAACATTCCTGTATTGATCTGGAGTTAGGACAGTTAAACAAATTGAGAGTAGGGGGTTGGAATATTACCCTCTGCTCTGTGAATTAATTGACTGTGAATAAGTGGTAACATCCTTTTTCCATCTCACATCTTAGGCAGTGGAATATAAATTTCTGATCAGGCAGACAGAATGTGTTTTTCAGCAATTGATGCAGATTTATCT